AGGGGATTACAAGGTAATTACGCTGACTCAAGAGACACTTCCGTCTCCCTACGGTAATTATCCCCTCCTCCTCCGCCTCCGCCTCCTCCAATTCATTACGTACCATGGCCATTCTGTCACTGGACATTGGGTGTACAAGGCAATGGCTCACCTGTTTGTTTTCAACCGCTGTCCCTACTTGGCAGGAAGACGATCTAATTAAAAATGTTATGAATGACTTCATATTTCATTGAATTCAATTCCAATCATTTAATTTGCCTATTCTGTACTGCGTCATAAAAAACAATTATATAACTGTATACCCAGTATAGTATGATAATACTCTGTAAAGAGGTATGTACTCAAAATGGAATAAGAAGAAAAAGAACAAGAAGAAGAAAGGAATAATTTTGTATATATATGTATGTGCCAGGTATGATGCAATATCAAAATATACTGACAGACATATCACAACAACTTTAGAAGGACTCTTTGTGTCACATTGGCCCCCCCCCCTAACACATTTCCTACGAGATCTGGGCGGTCTCTCTAACAAGCCAATGCGAATTAGAGAGATCTGAAGTCAACAGGTTAAGACAATTTTGGAACATGCAATAAGAGGAGGAGGAGGGTGTAAAATGTTCCCTTCCTAGAATCGATTCTAGAAATACTTCCTGAAAAGTTTGATAAAACGTGTTGGCATTTCCGTTCAGCTAATTCTCATCACATCCTCCAACGATGTAGCTAGTCCAACTCTCAAATACCTCTGGTTTTTCTTTTAATCCAGAGTTCAAGGTTAGGGCCTATTAAGTTTAGGGGGAATCCCTAAAAGGGCACTTAGGATATGAACCAATAACGCAACAAGGTTTTCAGAATGAGGCTTTTGCAATGACCTTTGGCCGACCTTGACATGCTAGGGGGTAAGAAAGTGAAGTTTCAGTTGAACTTTAATGAGTTTTGCTACTCATTAATAATGACTTTGCTAAAGAATGGGATATCTTATACAGTTTCTTCCTCTCTCTCTCTCTTGCTCTGTCTGATCTGCATCTAGCTCATCCTTGAATAAGATCACTGATGTATCTTACCAATTGAATTTTTCTAATACTACTTCATTGTACACTGATTAAATAATGTTGTACCTTGTCTTAATACTAGAAATATCTAGATTTTATTTTCTCAAACAAACAAAAATGCACATAAATCTAAAAGATTTGTACCTATAGAAGATATTCTATGCTAAATTTGACAAAGAAACGCTAAATAAAAATGGGAAATTTGACTTTCATATGAAACTACATTTTTTGCTGTTTGCAAACTTAGTTGCACTTGCTTACTAGAAATTAACATTGGATGTGGTCTAAAAAGTTACCAATTTCATGAGAACCACTGCATTTATAAGGCTACCAAATGAAAGTTTATTGTAGGAATATTTCCGTACAGGAAGATTATAACTGTGGGAAAAACTAACCAAGGTCAATAACAGCCCCATCCGATCCTAAACTACAGGGCGTAATGGGTGTTTCTATAAAACGCATTAAACTTGTTTGTTCATATTATTGAATAATTGTAATAAATGAAGAAAGGAAATAATAGAGTAAACACCAAAATGAAACCAAAAATGTTTATAACACCCAAAAGAAAGTTGGAGATTTTTAAATGTACTATTTAACTATAGTACAGTCTCCTTATGTGGTTGTAGTCTGCATGAAACTATTCAAAGCATAGCAACAGCATTAAAACTTTTGTCAAGGAAAATGTGTTTCATTCTATTTTTGTGATAGGATAGGATAAATTTGCCCAATTTTTGTCATACGTTGTTCATAAAAACAGTTTCGTTTATAAATGGATGTTGACAGAAGACCAATAAACTATTTTGCTTAAATGTGTACAGCTAAAAAAAAAAATTTTTTTTTTGGGGGGGGGGGGCTGAAGTGTTTGGGTTATAAATGGTGGCATATGTTGATAATGAGAATAACGCCAAACACCACTCTGGCTTGGATTTTTTCCCATTCTAAAATGACTTCATTACTTGAATGTTAACTGCATGAAATTCTCAGCTAAATGAACAACATCGATTCACTAGTATTTCATATAAGTCATTTCAGTCTACTAAATGTATCCTGAGAGGGCAGCAAATACATTCCACTTTCACTTCTGTACGGTGGGAAGCCCAAAGAGCATGCTCAGAGCAGAGAGGAAATATTGGACAATGCGCAGAAGCTGCTTAGGACTCTGGTACCAAAAGTAGAACTAACACATAGTATGAATGTACAAGAAACAGCAAGTGTTTGCCACAAAGGACATGTTCTCTATAACTCCTGTAGAGTGTTTCGCAAAGATCCTAAGTTGAACTTATCTCTTAGTTGGGCTTAACAATTATGGAAAACCGTTAGCATGTTTGAAAAAAAAATGTAAAAGTTATTTTAAAGGCATAAAAATATTGATTCATATCATTCGTATTTTCCATTATCAAGGAGATTTCGTGTTCTTGATGTGAAATTTATAAAATGTGCAAAATACTTGAATTTTTGCTTTTGAATATATTTTATTTTAAGGCAACAAATGGCTCTCCATAATGTCTAAGTCCAACTTTGAGTTAAGTTTGACGTAGGATCCTTGTGAAACACCCCCCATGACTGCCTAGTCCTTGATGCAGGCATGAGTCTTGGTGACCCACCAACCTTCCAAAGTGACAAATAGAAAACTTTCAAGAAAGCAGAGTTAGGAATTCAGAGTACTTAGTAAGCTCTTCCACAAGCAGCTATAGAAAAACAAAAGAAACTAGGGTTCATAGCATCAGTTTGAAGCCCCCACCCCCCTTCCAACAAATAGGAATCATTCCTTTAAAATAGCCATGACTGGCAGCTATATAAATGCAAGGTGTGATCTACCAGGGCTGTAGACTACCCTGGTGTATCAATATAGAACTTTGTAATTAAACTCAAGTCCAAATTATCAAATCTACCCTCCTACATTTGCAAATATGATTGGTTTGAATGAAAAGTTGTCTTTGATTGGAATTTTCTATGCAAGAGGGTTCTGTGTTGTCTCCAGCTACATGTATGACACTTTCATATGGTCAAACTAATTTATACTTTGCTCAATATCACCTTAAATTATGATACAATCTTAAAACATGACGTTGTTTATGATCAGTTGTAAATCCCAATAGGACTTACATGATGGAAGAAGCTCTTTGGTATCTTCCATGGTTTTCTGAAAAAGAAATTAGTTGGACAGGAAAGCTGTTTCTCCATCTCTTGTGCTATAATTACCACTTCCAGATGAGAGTTGACGAAACACTTTCAGCTGTTCACACCTTCACCACGAGAGGGCTCCTTTCAGTATTCCATCTTCATGCTATTTGCAGGCATGCAGCTTGAGATGACGTTCCTGTATGACATGTAATTATCACTTTTTTCATGAAGGGGAAGAAAGAAGTAAGATTCCTAGAGGAAATAAAGTGAAACAAATTAATCATCAGCCAATACAAAAAAATTGAAGAAAATACAGAGGTAATTAGCAAAAGCCAGTCCTAAGTACACATCTGGAATCATAAAAATATTTGTAAGAAAAAGTGAGAAAGAAATTCAAGGCAATAAAACAACAAAAATTATATTGAATGATGCAATATAGGCAAACAATTTCAATGTATAAATGAAAAGAGAGAAAATGTAATCACTTTGTTTTCTGCAGAGAGCTCTCCTTTCTTTCACAACTGTCTTGAAAAAATAAATATATACAGGTACTGGCATGTATTACCTTTCTCAGTTTGGAAAATAGCCAACTAACTGGAGAAGGCAATTAAAATTCTTACTTTACATATCTGGAAAAAAATGCCAGGATGATTGGAAACTTGTAATATTACTGCATATATGATCTCTCCTAATCAAACTTGCAACAAAGCTATTGAGGGAACTAATCCTATCCCTAGAGTATTATTTTGAATAAACATCATTAGACATAAGTAACACAAAGGATTGTATTTTTTCAAAATATTATTCCCACTTTCCATTTTTAAAGGTCACTTATGAATGTCCTCTCTGCTCGAGGCTTTTTTTTATAGGTAAAGGACATCAGTGACATCATAGGTCCAAAATATTCAATGTTTTCTCCCGCCCACAGTCATGTGATCAGAGAAGGTCACGAGTAAAACTTTTCAAAAAGTAACCAACTAGGCAAGTCATATTATGCACTTCCTCGTTCAGATATCACTTTGCATCCAAAAAATGATACCAATCTTCGTTGTGCAAAGGGCACTGCGCAATGGTGATTCTTCCTGCGTGTACACTCTCAATGGCACACATTCAAACATGCATACGCTAGATATCATCCATAGTTGTGCTTCCAGACTTTGGGTAGCAGCCAGGAGAAACAGATATCTCGTTACATCAATTGCACTGTCCCACCCAAATTTTTAATGAGAACAAGTTTGGCATCTAAGATTAATATGCTAACATGAATAAGTTCTGGGTTTTATGATTTTCCCACTTTTAAAGCGCAACTTAGGGCTTAATATCTATTGTATTATTCCATGATTGGCTGGTAGATCTATGTTTATGTTTACACCTGGATGATTTTAAGCTTGTCCAGTATAGAAAATGTAATCAATACCTTTTCCTGCTCACTGTCCTTTTATGACCCAATCCACAACAACCTCCTTAATTATCATACTCGGATGTATGCTATTGTTGTTTTTCTATGCCATGGGCTCTATAACATCTTTTGGGTGATAATTTCAGTTCTGCAGACCAAGTTTCTTGGGTTAGGGTATCCATGGTTAGTTTAAATGGATGTTTAGATGAAAGAGCATGACCCCTATTAAAGGGAAAAACAAGGAGATGAGGAGCTATAAATTGTTTGTTCATGCAACTGTGCTTTACTTTCGCTGTAACTCTTGAACAAAATAGGGTTCATTTCGCTATAAGCTTGGTAATAAATATTGCACCAGTATGTACATGTATGTATTTGATCAAGAGCAAGATGCATAAGGCTACATGAGATGCTAAACTGCCATTTACCCGTAAGATATCCCCTGGTAATGATGAGAGTTCTGGTACTGGACTGAGTTTGTTTGGCTGTGGGATCTCCATGGCGATGGGAGCACTGGCGGACAGGAGGGGGTTGGATGGTCCCTGGAGAAGGTGCATGAAGGAGGAGGAGACAGAAGTTGAGGTGGAGCCCCCAACGCTGCTGCTGGCCGGTATCACCACCGTCTGCTGGTCCTCCTTCTCCATCTCCTGGTGGAGCTGCTGCCTCATCAGCTCCTGTCTCATGGTGGTTCGCATCGACATGGCACTGGGCGAGAACTCCGTGCCCAGACGCAGGGAGCTGAACGGAGAAAAGAATGTATGGAGAAATGTAATAATGAATGACACGTTTTATATACTTTTGGTACTCATATTTTGGCTAAGATACCACATGCTTAAAGCCTATCTGCAGTTCTGCACTAGTTTGGCCAGGAGGGATTAGACCTCCCTGCAAGGTCACTGACAGGTGAATATCTCATCAAATCAGCTCTCAATTCACATAAGAAAAAGGGGATCATCGGGACCAATAGGCACTGATCAGGCATTGTATATAGAGGGCACAAGTAGCTATACCGGTAAGTAGTGCAGTGGGGCTTTAAGGACTGTTCGACATGGTGCTGGGCAAGAACTCCGTACCTAGACGGAGGGAGCTGCATTGAGAAAATGATATAAAAAATATTATAATTCATGTGTAAATACATGTATCATATATGTATGTACAAATTTAAAGACTTCCTACCCTGATAAAGGCAGGAAAATAAGGAAAATAAGAAAAATGGATCAGTGAAAAACTGGAAATTGAAATAAAATCTGCAAAAATTAAAATATTGTTTGTTGTTCTCTTATGTTTTGAAGATCTCTGCATGAATTGTCAACTTGATTTCTTTTGTGTGTTTTATTGCGTTGTACAGAAGATTTCTTTATTTTCCATTTTTTACGCATATTTTCTCAACACTATGCCCAAAATGTGATTTCCTATATTTCATGAAACATACATGTACGTACCTAAGTAAAAAATACACACAGCCATCACAATTCGTGAATTCTGACATTTCTTTAAAAAAAATTCCACGAGGTAATGCAATGCGTTTATTAATTACAATACTTTGTTGTAATGTTAATGGAGCGCAGACTTCACAAGCAAGTAACATCCCTCAACTTAGCATTTACATATGTATGACATCATGAAAAACAAGATTCAAGGATGAAATGGAGGCACATGACCCAAATAAACCCTGGATCAAAAATCAATAATCAGGCCAACATATGGGTTCATATACATAACATGTACTCTCCTTGTTCTCATATTCCTGGTAATAACAATATTTTATTGCATCATTCTGGACAATACACAATGTTTTGAAACAAACAACTTGGAATTGCAATAGCAAAAGTGATCTAGCAAGATAAATGTAATTTGCAGAATACATGTAAATGTACAATATCAAGTTCCTCCAACACATATGCGGATATAAAGGTAGTTAAAATATACCCAGGGATGACCTTCGATTGAAACCTTCACCGTGCAATGTCGTACTCTGTACATGTATGACGTATGTAATGTAGCATACTGGTACAGAGGTCATCTCTTCATGTTTTTCAAAGGGATAATTTTACAATATCAGGCTTTTGGGCTTAGCATCACAAAAAAATGTGTGGTTACATTGATGAACATGTACCCTCTATCAACTATGAAAATACTTCATCTGCTGGACTTTCCAGTGTTTTTGTAGAAACTGATTTTCAAAAGTTATTACAGTTCCTGGCATATGTATTGAAAATAATTGAATCCATTTTAAATAGAAGAAACATAACATATTTTTCATAACAAAAATTAATTCCCATTCATGACACAGTTCAAACTGAACACACTATACTGGGTAAAGGTATATGTATACCCGAACCTCTAGACTCTAACATATATACAGCTAAAATTATATTCATCAATGACATCATTAATTGAAAGAAGAGCAATGTGAAGCAATTGCGATACTAAATGAGATTAATACAGTTTGGAGTCATATCTTACCCATTATACTCATTGTACTGACATGGATATTGAAACTGCATCTCTCTCAACGTGCTACAGTAAATACCCTTTCAAGTTCAATCTATTTTCCTTTCATCCATTCGTAGACATGGACACAACCATCAATTTCAAACAGCTCAGTAATATATTTCCGGGTAGTATATATATCCACTAGCACTCAACGCGGCCTATCTCTATCGAAACCAACTAAAATGAAGCAAAACTTGCAATTAGTTTTGTGCGCTTCATTAGAAGAGTCAGAAATTCAGAATATATGCAGAAGACATGTCTCATACATTGTATGTATCATGCTACTAAATATGAATGTTTTGTAATGGACCATCGAGTGCAGATAAATGTATGTGTACATGTACTTCGCATAAAGTTTAGATTATATCACGACCTCAAGATACTAGCAGTAGCTGCCTGCAATAATTCAGGATTTTCAAGGATTTTCACTACCAGCAGAATATATTTGATGATCAAATGAAAATTAATTTTAGATGGCTGTACTCCAAAAAAATGACAAGAACCAATACGCAGAATTAAAAAACAACCAGGTGCACCCCCTCAGCGCTAACAGCGATATATAGCCAGACAGTTGATTCTAAAGTGGAGAGGTGTAAGCTAAATTGACGGAAAAGTTATGAAGTTGTGACACATAAGGGAGACAACTACTTTGAGTGTTAATGCATACTGGTGAAGAACCTGTGAAGTTATTATACAGTTGTCATTTTGCAGGAGAACTACTATCAAAGTATCATAAAAGTTTTGATTGATAAAAGTTTCTTGACTCATTACTATATGGTTAGATAAAAAAGTTTCTTGACCTCCTGAAGAGCGCTAAAAAGGTGAGTGGCCTTTAATATGACTTTCCAGCATCATACAAAAGTCTCAAAACTACATGCATGCCAATCAGTTCAAGAGCATTGGGCCTATATACATGTCATGTATGTGCAGGCCTACATTGATCACTGGCAGGAAAAAAAAATGACACCCCCCCCCCCCCCCCCCCCCCCACCCAGACTTGTTCAGAATGGGCAAAAATAGAATAATTAAAGCAACGGCGAAGGGGACAGACAAAGATACAAACACACACAAAGACTTGTTTGGGCAAAAATAGAATAATTAAAGCAACGGCGAAGGGGGAGGGAGATACAGGGAAAGGTACACAAAGAGGGTACAGAGAGAGAGAGAGGGGGGGGGGGGGGGGAGAGAGAGAGGGACAGGGGGAGAGAGGGACAGGGGGAGGGGCAGAAGGGAGGGGGCAGGGGGTAGAGGAGGATGGAAGGGGGCAGAGAAAGCTACAGTAGCTGAAGAGACAGAGATAGAGAGATAGTTACACTGAAAGAACAAAAGATAAACATCACATACATGTAATGTACATGGGTGTAAAGACAAAGAGACAAAGGGAGAAAGTGTGACCCAGGGGGGGGGGGGGTGTATTAGAAAGTAAGAGTGAAATACATATTTTTGATCCGACATCTATCTATTCATGGCAATGACCCAACAGGAAGCTTGCACAAGGATTGTGAAGGATAGGCCAATAATGGGAATAACAGGAAAATCAACAGCTGAATCAGTAACAAAATACCCATTTTGGTCTGATTATTTATCTTATCTGATAAGAAATATATAGTTCTTTTCAATATGTATTGCCTGTTCAACAAACCTAAGATTGTAAGGGTTTCTAACAATATCAAAACAGTTCCTCTTAACAATGAACTAATTATTCATTGTATAATTGTTGCTATATTGGTCACTATTGCAGTTCAATGACATATATTTCCTGGTGAAATGGAGCATAGTTTGAGGGGAAAATATAATTCTAAAGACCAATTTCCGCATCTTAATACGTTTTCCACTTCATCTGTCATTATTCAATTGATGTCTAGGCACAGAAATGAATTAACTTTCAATACATGTATGTAAAACTCAATCAGGAAGATGTGACAAGCAACAAATGTTTAAATAAAGGAAAATTATCTATTCATACACAAGGAGTGAAACTGGTATCTCTCCTTGGAGATTTATGCTAATGTATGACAACTAAAATGGTTTTCTTACAGCAACAGCTTCAGTGAGATACCGGTACCTTAAATTTCACAAACTCATAAAGTTAGCAAACATAATTTTGCAGAGTATGAGAATAGGGCACAGTTAAACAAATACACCTCCACCAACAGTAATTAGAAATGAACAGGGTATTCTTCATGCAGTGTACGATCAGCTTTCACCTCAAAGTTTGAATCTACCTCTCCTAAAGATTAACAACAAAAAACAAGACTATTCAATACTCTTTGCTCTTTTTTTCATTTCATTTATTGGTCCAATGTACATTTACTTTTACCACCATGTGCGTATGATAGCCAGCACAAATACATTATAGACCTCTAAATATACATTGGGCAGGGACTAGCATGTCCCTGCATTGGGTATACTGTATATGGTCTGGTCAGAGCAAAAAGGGCATTAACTCTGTATTTGAAGTATACGAGTTAGACCCTCCTGGCTCCAAACAGATGATATCAAACACTGACTCTGTTAAAAACAAATATATAGCCAAATTTGGTTAGATCAGCTCCATGAGAAGTTGAGAACCAAGTACTTTGGACTGTTCTTACAAATACCCTGTGCATGTACATACCTACAATAATAATCCCCATACGGTAAAGGTATTGGCATGATGGCAGCGTTCTTCCAAAAAGACAAAATCAAGCCAATTTCTAGCGATATTTTCTTCTCCTATTCACCACACTCAACTGGTATCGATCCTCCTGTTATCTTGTCCTGGTCATATATCCTGATTTGAAGAGGAAATCGACCATGGATGGTGGACAAACCGGCTCAAATTAAATCACAACTCCGGCGGCCAGGTAGTAGAGAGAATCCCAGATAGAGAATATCAGTGAAAGTATTTGGTTTATATATGGGCGTACTTTCCTTATTGACAGGCCGTCATGTTGATCTAACAGGAAAGAGGTGTTATGACATCATAACCTTCAGCGAGAAGAATACAATGAAACAAACAAAAAACATTGTTTTCACCTTTGTACTCATGTATACCTCCAAGAAATACATGCACATGTATGTGTGCATGTATATTGTACATGTTCATACAAATTGTACAAGATTCATACTACCGGTAATTTTTTTTGTAGATTACAGTGAAATCGATGAAGTAATTAATATACAAAACTTAAATGTGGCTTGTTTTTTGTTGTAAAACATCTAGGACTACTGGTATACATGTATGTACATGACTACATGTA